TATTTCGGAAGAATTAAGAGATCGCTTTAACCTATACCTTGCCTACTTTACATTCCACAGAGGGGCCTTTCACTGCTTTCCTTCACCCTTCAGTGGGAACTTTTCATTCTAAAAACCTCATTGAAAATAGGTCATTTTCCAGCAGACAGACTATAAATGGCAGCTCCTGTAAAAAATGTGCCCATAAATAGTCAGGGGATTTAAAATGCAATGTTATATAGACCCACTTAAGCGGTTACGTATGTCCTCAACATTCATGTACCGATGTAATTTACAACTACAGTTATCAATGAGGTGTACAAGCACTCAGTCCTCTGCAGTATTTTGAAGGCCATACATTATGTTCTATAAACTTTCAAGGAGTAGAAAAGAAATCACGCACATTTTAGAAATGCCAAACGTCCACACACACTTCTAAGCATTAAAAATTGCTATTAATATTCCTTTGATGAAAGAAATAGGGCATTAACAGAAAAGCTCAAAGATTTCAGTTCAAACCAGAGACATGAATGGGAGCCCATTATGTGGTCTGTTTACACACTGGTCATCTCTGATGACCTTGACCCAACACTGAATTATCAGACAGCAAAAAAGAAGAAGTAATGTGATCCCAATTGTCCTCATTTAATTCCAACATCTGAGGAAAGGGAGCGAGTATACGAATGAGAGCTCAATAAAAGTTTAGGTACTAAAGCTCTGACATGAGGGAGAGCTCAGTGTCTGCCCTGTCTTGCCCAGTGTTATCTGTTAACCATGACCTTGACCTACTGCTACAGCTGAGGACATCTCCAGGGAGCACTGACTGCAAAGACGCAAGTAAACTGGAAGGAAGGCAGAGAAGATTTTCATATGCCATCAAGTGACCTATTCATAGATGAAAGACTGCATTGCGGATTGATTTTCTTTTTTCAGCAGAGGTGACCTTTGGGTGCAAGCCTTGTATGAGCTGAACTCCGACAAAGTGGTCAAAGAGGTGCTCAAAGTAGACTTCGCGAGGGGACAGCTCTCCAAGATTAAGCAACAAAAGTTTTCCAAGGGATAAACACAGACTTAGGAATACTGTTTTTCTGAGGGCCACAGGTAAGGGTCCTGCTCATAAGCAGTGTCATGTAAAGGCCAGGACATGCTTGAAAAGACATGTCGACCACGTCAGAATGCAAAAGTGTTTTAGGATCTTCAGAGTGGTCTAGGGTTGGGTGGTAGTATGGTATCCTGGGGTATTTGAAAATACCAACGGAGTCTGTCATGAAAAAAATCTGCTGCGCAATATAGTGTTTGTCCAGCAGCACTGTCTGTGTGGTTGAAGAGTCTATGAAAGTACATTTTTGTTAACAATGTAATGGCAAATAAATAACCTGCCAAAAAAGATTAACTAGGTATTTAGAAGGAATCATAATCACAGATCATGTGGTAGATTGTCCTCACAAGGGAGAACACTCAGCGCACCCCGAATGGCAGGCACTCAGAGAAGGCTGGTAAAGAGATTGATCGGAATGGTAAAAACTTCTTGGGTGTTTTGACGGACCACCTTCTCACTGATGCGGTTGAATTTCTCCTGGTGCTCCTGACAGCCAGTCTGACTGACAAATGGAGCCGTTTCCTTGTCACTGTGTTTGTGAGAGCGAGAGTGAGAGAGAGAGAGAGAGAGAGATTAAGACCAGGGCTAGGAAGGACTGAATCAAACAATCAAGGAGTGAATCAACACCTGGCACACAGCCCTACAGTGAAACAATGGCACAAAACATATCATGAGCTAAATAAGCAGGCAACACCATGACTCCACATTTCCACCTTGGAACTGCAGTGAACCAATGACAATCTCAAGAAAACGGGTTCAGACAGCCAGGGATTCATACGTCATATACCTATAATATAACTTCAACACATCAATGTCAACTTGCAGGGATGGGGGACAGGCAAAATAAACATGAAACCATGTCCATACAGAGAGCCAGAGTTTGCATTAGAATAACCACTAACACTGTCAGTCACTGGCCAAAAAACAAAAAGCAAGATGCTAACTAGACTAACCATTCTGATATGTCTGCTAGTCATCAATTTTGTGGCACAACATATGAAGCTCATCTCTCTGATGTTTGCTCCTCAAACTATCTGGATAAACAAGCCTCTTTCACCAGTCACCGAAACCTTGTCAATACAGAATGAGCATTTGCATTAGCACAGCTACTAACACTGTCTCAGCGCTTACCGTCCTCATACATCCTCTAGTCACCAATTTTGGTGCAAAACCTTGTGTGCAGGGCACACAAGGTTTTTTTTTGTTAAATTTTACTGTGAGAAAACAATGTTAAACAAAATATTAATCCGATTATTTTTACATAGTTTAAAATGTATCTGGAGAATAACCTTACATATAGCGGATTTATAGTGTTGCATTCATTTGTACAAATGAAAAGTCACAAAGAGCTTAAGAGAGAAATTCAAACTCTACTTTCTCAGGATAAATTAGTGGCTGTTGGTTTTGGAAATTTACAAAAAATTGTGGCACACTGGCCAATTTACTCCTACCCACTTACACTTTACTAAAAATGCTCAAGAATCTCAAAAATGGCCAAGTGGAAAATCACCTGTGAGCTATTTCAAGCATGTTTATGTGCTCAAATTCTGTAACTGGAAACTTGCTTAGGCAATTTCTGCACTAAGTAATGTTTAATGGTACACCTGTTCTCCTAAAAAGAACACTGTTATTTCCAAAATAACATTCCTTTGCTTACGGTTATTATTTTTCCTATGACATAGCAAAGCTAGTAAAGAGGCCATCCAAATAGCAAACATAGGCCTATTCACTGTTAGTCATGGATCAGGGCATCTGCAGTCCAAAATGATCTTTGAAAAGGTCCATAGTATATTGCCTTGCACTTGGTCTTGGCCTCTTGTTGTTCTTTCTCCAGCTTCCTGTGGACGGGGTTGATTATTAATGGCCCTTTTATTTATTGGCTGAAGACATGTAGCAGGTCTGAGATATGCGGACAAGTAAGGGTTTATGGATTTATAGGTATGTAGTTGAGCAGCATTTTCTTATGTCATATTTCAACATAATTACATGGGTATATCAATAACATTACCATCACTGTATTTTGCCCCTTTGGGTGGGGAAGAAAGGTTGCCACATTGGTAACTGCCTTAGTTACCAATAAGACGCATCATGGTTTACTCAAAGGTGAGTATATAGCTTGATAAAGTGACTTGAACGCACTTGGCCCCCAGACAGGCATTATCACAGACAACTCCCTTCCAGTAATCATCATGGCCATTACTACTAAAAATAGAAGCCCTTGATATTATTATCTGCCTATCTAGGTAAATGTACAATTCCCCAGTTTACTAGAGTGATGCTGTACCAAGTATATGCATAACAAAAGGCAATAAGTAACCTAGTATGACAAAATATTAACTGAATGAGGTCAAGCATTATTATTTATTAGCATGGCTGTGAGTGGCGCTGCGTTAGAGTGCAAATACAGATTTTTGACTAGACTTTGAGGAGCCATACATGTTTTATTTCACGTTAAAGCCTCTAAAAATATCAGCCTGTGCTCTGTATACACATGTACGGGTCAGTTTATGAGTAACTGAGTTCCTGCAGCATTCATCACACACCTTAGACACCCAAGACACTGAGATAAAACTAGACTATCTTATGAAATCAGGCTGGTGTCTTTAAGATAACTGTAGATTATCTCTGTAGTTAAGATAGTTATTGTATTGCACAAAAAAGAAAATTCACTTTTTATACTCTGGGAAATGTAAAGTACCAAATACTGTATATCCAAACAAATACCTTCTCTTAGGGTGGACTGTTTTAAAGAGCCAATATTTGTTTTGGACCACCCTCTCTGTTGACACTTACCGACAGTGCTTCAGGAATGTTATAATAGGTGGGTCACAGCACCTCTAACACAATGCGTCTTTCTTATCACTCTTTTTCCACCTGTTCTTACAGTGTGTGCTGCTTTCTAGCTGACATACACTAGATTATACTATTTCAAGCCTGTTTTTTTGGTTTTTTTTACACAACATTATCAGGTCATAATGCACACATGCCTCGTTGTGTATGTTTCAAGAATATGGATTGCATAAGTTGACATTCTTAATGGCCCATCTTTTTTGGCTTATCTTTGCTTTGAAGTGTGATGGAGTAAAAGGCTTAGCACAGATTTACAAAGGAAATTATCTTGTCGCCCTTTTACTGCATGTAGAATTCATGAGGATCATCAGCTTTGATTTTCTGAACAGAACACACCATCTAATACCTTTGTATTAAAAGTCACGTCTTTAGATAAACATGTTAGAAGCTAAATCTTTGATAATAATCAGTGGTTTCAGTTTCTCTGAGGGTATAATGTTATTTCTGTTTCTATAATTATGCCACCTTCTTTTAATGAAAGTGTTCTTTTGAATTACAGGATATTCATCAGTAGCCTGAATGTGTACAGAAATTAACACCACAATAGACCACATTAAGAAGAGCAGAGGTGAGCAGCAAGAATCCTGCTGCTTTTACATCATGAAAAATGCCAAAAGATTATAAAAAGGTGTATGTTTTGGCAATGGTAATAATTAGAAAAATACAACATTGTTATTTCTCTTTTTGTGCTGTGTACAAAGTTTGAATAGTTGTGAAATTTTGCCTTACCAAATACCACTATTACATCATAGTGGGAAGTCAACAGAGCCTTTTTTTTTTTTTAAGTTTTGTTTTATTCAAGCATTTGAATGTGTGAGTTTGGTTCCAGTGCCTCTCATGGCACAGCAACACTAAACTCTGACCTCACCTATCACTATTTACTGTAACTGCTAGCTGCAGTCGTCACTTTTAGAATTTTTTTTTTTTTTTTTACACCACAGACTCAGTCCAACCCCTTTTATGTCTTCCTGTCCTCCAGTTTTCTTTCTCCACCCACTGCTGAGGTTACCTGGTTAGGTGTGTGTGTGTGTGGAGGGAGGGGGTGGCAGTATAAATGTCCACTGCGTTCTGAGAGGGACACAAGAGGGCCAACACCTCTGTGCTGGCAGTCAAAGGGTCATATACTGTATGCTTTGCTTCCACAACAGTCACTGCTCATTCATTCATTCTTCAGCTCATCAAAGACAGTGAGGATTAGCAACGGGAGAACAGAGCTGAGAGGCTGCCGTTAAGGGATCAGCTATGCTTGGAGGCGTCCACACAGATTTGTTGGTCACAGTGACTTTACTCTTCCTCTCTCAGACAGTGACTCAGTGCAGGTGGGTCTCAAGATAATTCAACTTTTAACAGTCACACTTTTGCTGATATGTTATTTTAAAATACTGTTATATGGCTCAATTTTATTAAGTGGAGAATTAAGGAGATTCTCTTTTAAAAACCAATCAGGTATTTTACAAATTTATGGCATAATTGTTCTAAAAGCAATCATTGTCACCGTTTTCCTTTTTCAGGGCTGAGAATGACTTTTCATTAGTCCCTCTAACAGAGTGGAGGACAAATGCAGGTATGAAGTATTATATCTACTAAGACCTTGACACTCCATAAGCGCTAGAATTGCTTGAATACCACTTTTTCAATTAAGAGACATGCAAAAGCATGCACAATACTATATTTAACCCTTTTCTTTCCTTGCATAGAATATGTCACACAGTGTTTCTACGACAGACAGAACAATCTCATATGTGACTGGACAAGGAGCCAACAAAGAACAGGTAGAGAACAAACCATTTACTGCACAAGTTATAGCGATAGATTTGAAGAATTAAATAATGTAATAATAAAATTGAAAGCCAAATGTATTTTATAGCCATCATGCAAGTTTTAGTAATGAGTTCACTCAGCGATTACGTGACTGTAGTAACCTTTAATTTTGCCCCTCCCTTATTGGAGAGGATTTGGAACATCAGTCCACAGTTCTGATTTAATCTGCAGACAGGCTGTGACTGCGTGTGCCTCGCTGCATATCGCTAATTGATCTGAAGCAGGCTAATAATCTTTTATAGCCTGGTGTTCTCCCAGGGGCAATCAAAGTAAAGGGCCTGCACCTGAGGTTCAAATTTAGCACAAAACACTCTAAACAGCTATTTTGCATTTAATGATAATTGCACCGCAACAGATGTACTTCTTGTTTTATTACAATAACAAATGCAAGGAAATGGTCTCCCATTTTTGGTGAGGAATTATGACAACATAAAAGCCTGTTTCCAACCTGTGTAGTTAAAAATATTATATCATTTGTATTGTGTGATTTTAACAAGAATAAAAGGTATCAGTGAGTTCCAGGTCAGTGAATTTGTACTTTAGACGCAGGTGCGACAACAGAGCTATAAATGAGCATGAACAATATGTATGACGACATTTAGCGTATTTGCATTTTCTCTTTGTCCTCCTCACCTGCAGAGGACAGGGCAGTGAGTATTTTAGAAAGCGGTCCACTCGGGCTTGAGGGAGAGGCCTGTCTAGAGTTTTGGTACCAAGCCCCAGTTGCAGCTAATGGGTCTGAACTCCAAGCTATTCTGAAAAGCAGTGATGGTCGGGTAGAAATCTGGGCCTCTCCTGCCCTTCCTGGAAATACATGGAGACAAGTGTTTGTCCCCCTGAACAGCCTCAAACCAAGGACTCAGGTAAAATGGCACATATTACCACATATCTGTAATTGCGATGGCGATTTAAAATATAACATTGTATATTATTAAATAGATAATCTGCTTTTACATTAGGTTGTACTTGAAGCAGTGTCCATGGAGGGAAAGATCACATTTAACCAGATAGGTGTAAGAAGAGGCTCATGTGGTAAGTATTGTTTTACTCTTTTTCCATCTTTAGAACAGCCTGCTTTTGGTCCTATCAATCAATCAATAGCAAAAAAAAAGAAAAAAATCATACTATATTTCAGTATACACAGTAATAATGTTGATGCAATACATAAACCACTGCTGTCATAACACTTGTCAGATTACTGTCAGTGAAACTGCAAAAGATCTTAAGTCTAAAGATGTAAAATATTCTTTATCAGGTTTCATAATTTCACAGTAAGGACGTAAGAATGATTTTCATTCTTTTGATTAAAAATAAACATGAATTCAACATGAATTAAAGCATCACTTACATGAATAATAGTTTGGATTACTAAAATAATTAGGAAAATGTGTAGACAGGCCATACAGTATTAACGCTGAACATAATGATTCATTAACATTACTAATCAATTATTCCTAGCCAGATGGTGTTATGGTTATAAAGGGGTTGTTTACTCAGTCTTATGCCCCCACAGGACCCCAGTGTGAATCGAACACAGAGATATGGACAGATGAATCCACCCGCTGCCTCTGTTCTGCTGGCCAGCTCTCCTGCTCTCCCTCTCAGTGCCCTAAGGGCCAAATCTGTGGTCCTCAAAGAGGAGGCTCCAGTGGGATTTCCACCTCTGGGACGTGTACTATACACAGTCACACAGACTGCAGCACTTTTGATGGAGTGCTGTTCCGCTTCATGGCCCCCTGCACCTACGTACTGGCTAAGACCTGCTCACCCGCTGAGGCCCTGCCCATGTTCAGAGTGGAAGTGGTCAATGAGCAGAACGGCAACTCATCTCTGCCAACTGTCCAGCAGGTCACTGTGAACACAGGGAACTTCAGAGTGTCTCTATTGAAACAGAAAACACACCGGGTTGTGGTGAGTTATTTTAAAAGGGTGACAGAAATTTAGGAAGGCACTTACACTGTGTTACATTGCTTCCTTGCCAAAAATTTAAATGTCATGTTGTTTTACAAAGGGAGACCAGTTTTGTCTGACTTGTATGAGAGAAAAAAAAAAAAAAAAAAAAAAAAAAAAAAAAATCACTTCTGAGCCTGAACATCCAAATAAACCTTATTTAAATGGTTTTTTGCTTTAGAGACAACCATGCAGCCATAAAATCATTTTTGGCAGACTAATAGTTTATTTTCAGTTTACTCATCTAAGCTGTTTATCAATGGGACATCACGCACCTGAGGACAATAGTAGTCTCTCATTGTTCATAGCTGAAAGACTAATTTGCAGAAGAAGCCATCCTCAAGCATTGAATTAAGATCTGTATACTAGAAGCCATTTTTCCCCTTAAAAACATACAGTAGCCCTATTCTCTATTTTACATTGGTCCCTAGACTTCACAATACCCAAGTCCTGTCTGTACAACTTCAGTTTTGGGGCACCTTGTTATGCTGTAATGAGGGTTGTGCTTACTAATGTACTGGATCAAGCAGTTCCCATATCTGCAGCCCACTCTACTGATAAACTGACTTTATCAGAAAGTGCAGAGTTTAATGGCATAATGTCCTGGACTTATCAGCCTTATCAATTCTTAAAGATACATTCATCTTCAGAATGCTGCATTTTATGCAAACTGTCAGATACAGAGAGTCAATATTGCTGATGGCCGGTAAGGAAATCTAAAGCTTATACCTCTTATTTAGGTTAATGGGGTCTGGAGGAAGCTTCCACTGAGCCTCGGCGATGGCACTGTCAACATCAAGAGTAATCCTGCTGCTGTTGTACTGGGAACCAGTTTTGGTCTTTCCGTTTCCTATGACAACGCTGGTGCTGTACATGTCGCCCTGCCACCAACATACTCCGATAAGGTCTGCGGCCTGTGCGGCAACTTCAACCACCTCGGAGAAGATGACTTCCGCAAGCCTGATGGCACAAATGCCCACAATGCTACAGCTTTGGCTGAGAGCTGGCAGACTGGGCAAATAACCTCCTCCTGTGAAACTATTCTTGTCCCTCATCTGTGTGACCCACTAGAGGAGGCTGAGTATGCCAGTGAGCTGTACTGTGGAGGGCTCCTCTCTAGTACAGGGCCCTTCGCTGACTGCCAGTCAGTTTTGGAGGCAGAAAGTTACTTCAGGGGCTGTGTGGTCAGCATGTGCTCTGCTCATGGTGACCCCGCAGTGCTATGTGAGGCATTACAGGTCTACACTGATATCTGCAAAGAGGCTGGAGTAGCTGTACCCATATGGAGGAACTCCACATTCTGTCGTATGTTACTTTATTGCTTTCATTTTTCTTCCTCCTATTATTAAAATAGGAGAAACAGTGTCAAATAATGGCTATAATAATACAGTAGAAATAAGGTCACGCTCTGTACTCTTTCCTCTCTTTTCCTGGGTCCCCTCAGCCCCTCAGTGTGGTGAGAACAGCTACTATAACTCATGTGCTGATGGCTGTCCCGAAGTGTGTTCCAGTCTGGATTTAGCTGGCTCTTGTGGAAGCTGTGAGGAAAGATGTGAGTGCGAGTCTGGCTTCAAACTCAGTGGGGGAAAGTGTGTCCCAGCAGAGGACTGTGGGTGCTGGCATAATGGGAAACACTATGAGGTAAGTGACGTACATGATGTGACAACAATGTCAAACTTGCCGATTCACGACCACAGTGCTATTTATTTATTTACACACATCCCCTTTGCCTTGCAGAAAGGAGCAACATTCTTGGAAGGAGAGTGTGTGCAAAAGTGCCAATGTATGGGTAATAATGATCTGTGGTGCACCACAATGCAATGTGCAGACAATGAGGTTTGTAAAGTCAAAGATGGGGTCAAAGACTGCTTCCCTTTCAAACCTGCCACTTGCCGTGTGTATGGCGATCCGCACTACATGACCTTTGACAAGGTGGCTTATGACTTTCAAGGGGGCTGCAGTTACACACTGGCTACAACATGCGGAGAAGGTGGCTCAGTCCAGTTCACTGTGACCGGACACAACATGCATCCTCCCCTACAGAACTTAACTCGGTCCAAGCTGGAAGCTGTGACTCTGCAGATTGAAGATTATGACCTCACCCTGAACCAAAGTGGAGAGGTCTATGTAAGCATGAAAACCCCTTGCAACTGTCTCTATCAAACAATCTTAAATGCAACTCTTTTATAGCATGTCATGTAACAAATCAACTGATATGAAAAGGTGTATGAGACTAAACAGCTTCCAATCTGCACAAACATCTCTCATGACCCGCAAGTGGCCCATTTACTGTTGTGTCACTGTTCTCTATTATCTAATGTAATTCATTAATGGTGGTGGCTAATAACTTTACTCTCAGCACACCCATGTTTATAGGAGCCAGTTATTACTCTCTCCGGTCATTGGAGGACGTCACCTGTTTGTCATCTGGGGCTTACAAGAATACATGAACTAACAGCTGACCCACTTGACTTTGCCCTGAACAGCTATTTGGAAGCTAACTGGTTGCACCAACTATCCCAGTAGAAAAAAAACCCATTAATGATTGTTTGCCATTCAAAAACAAACAGTTCTCATAAGAATAAACCAATTACAAATAATGGATCGTCCTCTCTCTAGGTGAATAACAGCCTGGTCCACCTCCCCTATTCCACCAATGGAACATACGGCTCAGTATGGGTCCACAAGGAGAGCAATTACATTATCTTGGAGTCGACCTTTGGCCTCCGAATTATGGTAGATGGGCAGAACAGACTTTTTCTGCAGGTGGATGAGCGCTACAAGCATGAACTGTGCGGAATGTGTGGCATCTACTCTGGACACCAGGATGACGATCTTGTAACCCCAGACGGCCAAAATGCTACAGACGCATTTCAGTTTGGAGAAAGCTGGAGGGTGCCAAACAATAATGAGTAAGTTTTTTAGCCACACTAGAAGCAGGTGCTAATTATATTCCAGCCTTTGCTGTACTTGGCGTTAAGTGCTAATTAGCAAATGTTAGCATGGTAATGAACTAAACTCAGATGAACCTGGAAAACTTGGTAGTTGCTCAACATCACCATCATAATAATTTTAGTATACCATCATTACCATTCAGCTGAAAGCTCCACTTGCCAATGTAAAACCTCAGAGCTGCACACCGAGCTGTAGACTATTTGTATTATCAGATATTTTCTGTGTAGACCTGGTTTGCCGGATAACTGTTTTACCAGATAAACTACAAATTACAAGGTTGATAACCAGCTAATACCAAGCCAAATACACCAAGCAGGTTACTTTGGCAGACGGTATACACTATAGTCACAACCCAACATTTTCTATTTGTGTATTAGAACTTATTGAAGAATTATTAATACGTACATTATTAACAAAACTACCCAACGTCATGTCCCATTGTGAAGTGGCACCATACTTCCAAATGTTTTGATCGCCATTGCATGGTCTAAATTTTCTCCACCAGGTGTACTGCCTATCCAAATGACCCAAGGCGTTGTGACTATGATGAAGAGGATGAGGCCTACAGTCAGTGCAATGCACTACTTAGGGATCCCTTCAAGTCCTGCCATGGACCCATTCACCCAGGGGTCTACCTTCGTAGCTGTGTGTATGACTATTGTGCCACAAATGGGGACCAACACACCCTATGTGAATCTCTGAAGTCCTACGCAGCAGCATGCCAGGTTGAAGGAGTGGAGCTGCCTCCCTGGCAGACAGGCACAGCCTGTGGTGAGTTACAGATGTAGGACAAGGAAAGCGTCAATCTGTGAGAAGATATGTACATATATCAATACTGGTCCTGATTTACCAACTGGTAGAATTTTTTTTTCCCCCGCACATAATAAAGTTGAATTCTGTTGCATGTCCTGTATTTCTCTCCGCTTCTGTTTTGATCACATCACAGGACTGGTCTGTTGCATATGCAAACTAGGCAACTGCCTAGGGCCCAACCTGAATGATTCTTTTTTGTTTTGTCAGTGATACAAGCACAGTAGGAGAAATTATTGGTTGGTTAAGATGGGGTGGGGGAGGCCCAACCAAAATATTGCCTAGGGCACCAAAAAGCCAAAGATGGTGAACTCATTTCCTTTTTTTGTTTCTTTGTTTGTTCGTTCGGCTTTTTGTTTTTTGTTCCTATTTCAGCTGACCCCCCAACCACTTCAACTCCTCCAACAACTCCAACTCCTACTTCTCCAACACCAGATCAGACTTGTAAGAGCATTCCGGGTTGGAAAAGCTTATCCATTACTGGTTTGGATATCAGTGGCATAGTCCAAATTATAATCAATAATTTCAAAAGCAAACATTACATTTGACCTTTGCCTCCTAGTGCAACAAATTTACACAGGTTTAATATATAAATGCATTTGAATACATCTGAATAACCTTTATGTAATCATCTACAGATTGGGTTTTGTGGATAATCTATTTTTAACTAAAATTCTACTTTTCAAATTGTAATATTCATATAGATAATTAGCTCACAACCATTTCCATTGTGTTCATATGCTTTTTCATAGTCTGCCCCATGAACTGTGACTTTGAAAAAAATCTGTGCGGGTGGGAGCAGCTCATACAGGACAGTTTTGATTGGACAAGAAATTCAGGACCCACCCCCTCAGACCAAACTGGGCCAAACCAGGACCACACCACTGGAGGTAACTACTACTACTACTACTACTACTACTACTACTACATCTGTTACGTTGGTTCTTCATGATTCATGTTTATTGTGCTTTTTACCATTTCTCTAGCCGGTTTCTACATATACATTGAGGGAGACAGAGTAACCCATGGAGACTCAGCCCGCCTGATGAGCTCAGTGTGCCATTATGATAGCCCACTCTGTCTACAGTTCTGGTACCATATGCATGGTTCAGCCACAGCAATGGCCCTCAATATTTACCTGCTCAAAGGCAATAAAGCTACCAAGCTCTGGTCCATGATGAACAACCAGGGACCACAATGGCATCTAGGAAATGTTGACATCAGTGTGTCCGGCCCCTTCCAAGTAAGTAAACCACTATATATCAGACAAAACGTGTACAATAGACGCTGGTTGAAATTTGCAAATCTGATCTGAGCAGTGAAGAATTATTTTTTCATATCACCCATTTCAGATCATTATAGAGGGAATTCGGGGCTCTAATGCTCAATCAGATGTGGCTATAGATGACGTTTCCATCCACTTTGGCACATGCTCAGGTGACAACCTCTAACAAGAAGGATAACAAATTATTTAGATTTTTAATGACTGGTCTCAAATTATGATCATACCTGTTATCTCATGGTTTAAACAAAGTCAACAATCACTTCCTTTAGGTGGCTTCCCTGGCGTGGTTAGTGGAACTGAGCTTCCCTACATAACTGCAGAAGTCCTCCCCCCACACCCAGGTAAGTGCACAGGAAGCTACATTTTATGGGTCAGTTGTTTCTGCATCAGAAATGTTGAAGTTTGGTTACCAATTAGCATTTATGTCTAGTCCAATAAATACTTAATATGCAATTCTTAAAAAGGTGATTGAAGGTTACAGATAGTTTTTTTAAGGAAGTTGCGTAAGTGCTGCAATACTGAGTATGTGTTAATTTTTTGCAAATGTTTCCCTGTAGCCTGCAATCTCGACTGCAGCTTCAACAGAGATCTTTGTAGCTGGAATCAAATGATTACAGATGCTTTTGACTGGACATGGCAAAGTGGTTCCACTCCCACCCTGATGACTGGGCCCTCCACTGACCACACTGGTGGTAATGCACTCTTCCTCTATGTGACAATCTAAATTATGACAAACAATATAGAGAGGCAACGATAAATTCTGGCTCGCAATGAAACCTATGTCAAACAAATTTGGTATTTTCTTACCTCATGTCTAGATGGTCACTACCTGTACACTGAGGCCAACAGTGCGTCACATGGAGACACGGCTCGTCTCATCAGCTCTGAGTGTTCTGACTCTGGTCCTCAGTGTCTGCAGTTCTGGTACCATATGTACGGCTCAGCAGATACAATGGGCCTCCATGTTTACTTAGTCCAGAACAGAGTAACCGATGCCATCTGGTGGAAGAGGAATGACCAAGGAAATATGTGGCACCTGGCTCAGGTGGAGATCACAACAACCAGAGCTTTTCAGGTGACTATCTCACACTAGGGACTCTGTTGATGACCAACCTTTGGTGTAGTAGTGTAAAACTGTTGTATGATGTTGTAAAATGTCCTGTAAAATTTACTAACGAATTCTATACCATCATTCAGATCATCATTGAAGGGCGCAGAGGATCTAATGATCAGTCAGATGTGGCTATAGATGATATAAAGCTTTATCGTGGTCACTGCTCTGGTAAGAAACATGAACACAGAGAAAATACTAACAGGTCTGCAAAGCTGTTTCTAATTCCAATGCCGAGTGCTCTATAATATTGTTGTACTCTTGCAGATCTGAGCGGTGTTGTTACAGCACAACCTCCTAAACCTGATCTAAACACCACAGCTCCTCCAAGTGTCTTTGTGCCAACCACTGCGGCTCCAGAGCCCCCTCCAGTCAATGATACAGCAAATATCACCACACCTCCCACAGTCGAATCAACATCCAACTTAATTAATAAGGACAATGTAACTGAAGCTCCAGATAACAGACCACCAGCAGGCTCAGGTAGTAATTCCACAGCAGCACACCCATGGTGTTTGGACTAGCATAATTTATTTTTTCAATATCCAATTTTTGTGATTTCCAGAATAATTTTCAGTGAACTCATAATATTTCTGGCCTCTCTTTTCAGCATGCCAACTCCACTGTAATTTTGAGCAAGATTTATGTCACTGGAGTCAACTGCTTGCTGATGTTTTTGATTGGACAAGGCATAGTGGCTCCACTCCCACTATGATGACCGGTCCGTCTTCAGATCACACCACAGGAGGTATTTAACCTTGTGACACAAGCGAAGCGTGGTTGTATGCCATGTTCAATAAGTGTTAAAATGTCAGGGAAAAAAACAGCACACTCTTTTCCAAATTGATATCAGCCACAGTCACACTAATGACTAGTGAAAATTCCATTGTTGAAGCAGTTCTTCCTTGTCAAACCAGAATGGTAGACTGATAAACACTGACTATGAGTTCATGATGCAAGATATTTGTCCTTGGTCTCCAGAGTATGTGTCAGTAGAGCTGCTGCTCGTGAATGAAGTCATTCTTTGCCTTTGAGTGTTTAAATGACAATTGCATTGCTGACATTTAGCCTTCATTGTCAGCTGCAATTGGACATACCTTGAACATAGAATTAAATGTTAAACATTACCGCAGAAAACATTATAATATATGTATTAGCTCAACTAACCTAACTTTTATTGTCTTATCCAGATGGCCACTATCTTTACATTGAAGGAAACAGTGCGTCACATGGAGACACGGCTCGTCTCATCAGTTCTGAGTGTTCTGACGCTGGTCCTCAGTGTCTGCAGTTCTGGTACCATATGTATGGCTCAGCAGACACAATGGGCCTCAATGTTTACCTGCTCCAGGACAGAAAAGCAGATGCTGTTTGGAGGAAAAGGAATGACCAAGGAAATATGTGGCACCTGGCCCAGGTCGACTTGACCACAAATGGAGCTTTCCAGGCAAGTTACTTATTAAAGATGTTTCTTTCCTTAACCTGCCTAATGTTAGAAACTTGCAGAGCAAAACACTAATGATGTACTACCTGCAAAACAAATCAGTGGATCAGAACGTAATGGATCTGCATGCTGTAACCGGCATACTGTGCTTTAGTATTAACCTGTGCACTTACTTTTTAGATCATTTTTGAGGGGCGAAGAGGTTCCAATGATCAGTCTGATGTGGCCATAGACGATATATCACTTCATCACAGGCACTGTGCAGGTGATTTTGTCCTTCTGACATTCTACTTATTCCAAACACAGTATAACTGAAAATTGATGAGACTGACTTGTCTGTTACAGACCTGGCTAAACCAACAACCCCTGCTCCGAAAACCGTGGATTCAGTTGCAACAGCAGGTTCTGAGCTTCCTCCAGCCAACAACTCATCAACTACAAAGCCACCTTCAACAAGTTCATCAAAACCACAGCCAGCATTAACAACTACATTTACAACAATGACTGGCACAACAACAGCGGCCCCGACTGATTGCGATACACAAACCCCTACAAATCCATCAACAATAACTGAGCCCCCACACACTTCAAATCATGATGTCCCAATGACCACAAGACCTGATGTTCCAGCAACAACAAGACCACAGCCTCCAATAACATCAAGACCAATAGCAACTGCTACAATTGGTCCCCAAACCACAGTAAGACCAGAACCTCCAACCACAGCCGGACCACAACCTCCAACCACAGCCAGACCACAACCTCCAACCGAAACTCAGCCACAGCCACAAACATCAGCTAGGCCACAACCATCAACGACAGCTCTACCTGAGTCACAAACAACAAATATACCACAACCTCCACCTGAAACTCAGCCACCAATAACAAATAGACCACAACCTCCAACCACAGCCAGACCACAACCACCAACTACAGCCAGACCACAACCTCCAACCACAGACAGACCACAACCTCCAACCAAAACTCAGCCACCAACCACAATGCAGCCACAACCACCAACGACAGCTCTACCTGAGTCACAAACAACAAATATACCACAACCTCCACCTGAAACTCAGCCACCAATAACAAATAGACCACAACTTCCAACCACAGCCAGACCACAACCACCAACTACAGCCAGACCACAACCTCCAACCACAACCGGACCACAACCTCCAACCACAACCGGACCACAACCTCCAACCACAGCCAGACCACAACCTCCAACCGAAACTCAGCCACAGCCACAAACATCAGCTAGGCCACAACCATCAACGACAGCTCTACCTGAGTCACAAACAACAAATATACCACAACCTCCACCTGAAACTCAGCCACCAATAACAAATAGACCACAACCTCCAACCACAGCCAGACCACAACCACCAACTACAGCCAGACCACAACCTCCAACCACAGACAGACCACAACCTCCAACCAAAACTCAGCCACCAACCACAATGCAGCCACAACCACCAACCACAGCTCAAACTGAGTCACAAACAAATAGACCCCAACCACCAACCACAGCTCTACCTGAATCACAAACAACAAATAGACCACAACCTCCTACCACAGCTAGACCACAACCACCACCAACAGGTCAACCTGAGTCACAAACAACAAATAGACCACAACCTCCAACCACAGCTGGACCCCAACCACCAACCACAGCTCTACCTGAATCACAAACAACAAATAGACCACAACCTCCTACCACAGCTAGACCACAACCACCACCAACGGGTCAACCTGAGTCACAAACAACAAATATACCACAACCTCCAACAGGTCAACCCGAGTCACAAACAACAAATAGACCACAACCTCCAACCACAGCTGGACCCCAACCACCAACCACAGCTCTACCTGAATCACAAACAACAAATAGACCACAACCCCCTACCACAGCTAGACCACAACCACCACCAACAGGTCAACCTGAGTCACAAACAACAAATAGACCACGACCTCCAACAGGTCAACCTGAGTCACAAACAACAAATAGACCACGACCTCCAACAGGTCAACCTGAGTCACAAACAACAAATAGACCAAAACCTCCAACCACAGCTAGACCCCAACCACCAACTACAGCTCAACCTGAGCCACAAACAACAAATAGACCACAACCTCCAACTGAAACTCGGCCACAGCCACAAACAACAGCTAGACCAAAGCCTTCCACCACAGCTCAACCTGAGTCACAAACAGCTAGACCACAACCACCAACCACAGCTCAACCTGAGTCACAAACAACAATTAGACCACAAGTTCCAACCACAACTACACCACAGCCACAAACATCTAGACCTCAACCTTCAACCACAATTAAACCCCAACCCACAATAGCTATATCACAATCCACAGCAACTTTGAGACCAGAACCCACAACAACAGCTGGACCACAACCCACAACGATTAAACCACATCCACCAACAGACAGACCTCAGTCTACATCTACATCACAACCACCAACTACACCTGTACCAAGTAAGTTTGCGCCCCCCCATTAAAAAAATAAATAAATAAAAAAAAATTAAAAAAACCTTGCTATATCTAGATATTTAATTAAAAAAAAAAAAAAAAAAAAAAATTAAATCGCCACTATCCAGCCCACTGTCAACTGTTAAACAGCTAGCCCACTAACTGCAGCTGGCCATGGCAGTCCTCATTTTGCACTGCAGCATCGTCAAGTTTGGCGTAGCACCACATGTACAAGTTCTCCGCTGTGTCAAAAGTCCCTTGTGAGCTAGCAATGAAGAATGGCTGATAAATTTAAAGTATTAACTGTATAGACCTTTTTTGTTTGTCTTTTTGTGCTTATGTCTAAGTATATACACTGTCTCCATCTTTCTCTCAAGCACCTTCTTGCCCAGAGAACAGTCATTACACGAGTTGTATCCCTGCCTGCAGTCCAACCTGTACACAACTGAATGGCCCGCCACGCTGCAGTGACAGTGACAGTTGTGTGTCAGGATGTGTATGTGATAATGGCTTTGTGCAGAAATCGCGGCATTGTGTGCCTATCCAAGAGTGTGGATGTGTGGACAGGAATGGCACCAAACATCAAGTGAGCGACTGTTCCGAGTAACTCTTAGGTCATACACTGTGTTGATTTTCAAATACTTGGGACAACTTTCTGAAAGCCAGAGCATTGCATGTGGACACTGAATGATAACTCTCTTTCTTGACAGTTCAATGAAGTGTGGTACACCAATCACTGCAGTCAGAAATGTGAATGTGAGAAAGACGATGGCATGGGGGAGATTGATTGTGATGACAAAGATGAATGCGATGGAAATGCTGTCTGCCTTCAAAATGACGAGGGCAAATACTACTGCCAGTCTACAGGTGCTGTAAATGCCAGCATTTAACTCTGACAAATCTAAATTATGTTACAGCTTCCTCACTAATTTATAAATCGCTCTACACTTGTTTCTCCACAGGATTCAATGAGTGCACTATAAAGGGAGACCCCGAGTACAGAACCTTTGATAAAATGAAGCATGAATTTGAGGGTGAGCACTCATATGTGCTGGTCCAGACCAAAAACTTGCCAAATAACCTTCCAGATGTCTACATCGAGGGCATCAATAGACGCACAGTAGATGATGACGATGACAGTCAGCATCATGATGACAGTAGCAGTGAAGAAAACCATAGTCGCAGAGTAAACGATGAAGATGACAATGATGAAGATGACAACGATGAAGATGACAATGATGAAGATGACGATCACAAACATGATGACGATAGTAAGGAGAATGAGGAACACCACAGATTACAAGAGCTTAAGATCAGAGTGTACAATCACACTGTGGAGTTCAAGAAGAATTTGAGGCTGCTTGTAAGTATCAAAGGCATTTTGAACAACACACTGCTGCCATCTCTTTCCTGTGGTGCAATTTCTGCAGACACAATATTAGGTACATTGGATAATATATATTTGCTCACCCACAAACATTTGTGAGGGAAATAACCAGCACTCCTTCACATCTTTTACTGCAAGGTGTTACTGAAGTAGTGAGACAGATGATGCGCTATACATTATTTCCCATTTGGCATTTTTAACATGTTTGTGTGTGCATATTTGTATATGAGAGACGGAGAGAGAATATTTAACAGCTGCATACGCAGTGGAGTCCAAAGTCTGAAATCAATTTTGTACAAACTGAAATTTCATCCTTGATGGGAGACATGGAATAGTCAAGGGTTGACAAAAATCAGTAGGCCTAATCCTCTGGAGAACATAAATATCTGTATAAAATTTTGTGCCAGTCCATAGAGTAGATTGGAGATTCAATGATTCACTGAATAAGTGAAATGATAAAATATCATTTGGAATTATCCAGTGGGGACCATGAACGCTCATTCTGAATTTCATTGCAATCAAACCAAAAGTTGAGAAATATAAGTCTGGATGATGTTGAACTCAGACTGATATTTCTGTCACCAAGTCAAAAATGTTCCTAGTCGACTCAAAATCTGCACTTTGACTGCATGGACTCTAGGTGGGGGGGTGGGGTTGTCATCTTCAGTGCATTAACTGCTCAGGTGCTTGTGGTCAATTGGTTCTTATCTATATTTTTTGCTTTTAGACACACACCCAACATTACTACTGATGTCTTTTCTTCATTAAACTTTATCCACAAATACAAGAAATATATAATTCACTCGCCTGCACACGTGTCAGTTCAGCTGCCCCAAATTACACTCCTGTACATGACCCGTATTTTACCTTAAAACTTTTTGGTTTGTATTAAAAAAAAAAAAAAAAAAAAAAAAAAGACTTTTCCACACAGTCAGAGAAAGTAAAAGTTGGCATCTTGGTCATTGTTCAGTTATGATATTCTGCCGCACAGCAGAGTGTCTCTCCTGCCGGGCTGCTGACAGCACTGTCAGCTGGACACCAGAGCTGAGAGTATCAGAGAGTATGAGTCTACTCGCAAATGCAAGTTGACAGCCCTACTAAATATGGATGTTTTGTGGATCCCTGCACACAACATACATAATCGTACAAGAGCAAATACTAGTTCTCACAAGTCAATTTAAATGTCTTACTGACACATCCCCCTCTCCATCTCCCTCCAGGTGGATGGAAGGAGAACTAGTACTCCTGTCTCACCAACTGCTGGTCTAAACATCCGGGAGCATTCCTCTCACATCTACCTGAAGACAGACTTTGGCCTCTCAGTGGAGTTTGATGGACACAGTAAAGCAGGTAACTAATCTTCCCCTCATTAAAAACACATCTAACAGAATTAACATAGGTCCGCAAACTTGTAGATTATCTTATTCTTTGACATGGGATTAGATAAAAGGATGAGTTATTTTCTGGGTGAGATAGTGAATGAAGTGACATTGTATTGTTAATGTTATTCCTGCAGAGATCATTCTACCACGGATATATAAAAGGAGAGTGGGGGGTCTGTGTGGGAACTTTGACGGTCAAAAGAGGAATGACTGGATGAAGCCAGATGGTACAATGGCCAGCAGAGTTCAAGAGTTTGGCGAGAGCTGGAGAGTGTAAATATCAGATGGATGTACGGAGGAGACGCGGCACTTAAAGATACCCCTGGAGGTTTTGACCACAAGTACAAATATTGTGTCAGTTTACAAGAAAACTCCAAGAAAAAACAGAATTAATGCTGTTTTTTTTTTTTCCCTCAGACAACAAACCTGAGCTTTTAAACATGACCTGTAGCACTGATGTCCTTCTCTTTACCTCCAGCTTTTCAGGGCAAAAACTTTTTTCTGTTATAGACAAAGTATCATAGTAAAAGAACTTCTCTACTGCAAGTTACTCATCTTTGAAATCTTCACTCGTGACAGTATGTGAGACTGATTTTATCACTGCCATGCATACTATTTATTCAAAAGTGATGTTCTTACAGCTTATGCTGTATCTTGTACAGTAATAGCAATGCTGAACAAAACGTACAATGGTGTGTTTAAACAATGAAAATGCATGACTACACATGGATTATTTATCACCATCCCATATTGTTAAACAGATTAAATGTGCAATAAATTATTCAGAATGTCGCTTGCACTTGGTCATAATGTGTATTTGAATGGAAGCACAATCTTCACTGTTCTAATAAATGTGCACTGTGGTTCAATTTGTTTCCTTGTGTCGTGCCATTTCAGTCTCAAGTGTAGCTAAGACAGCATTCCTGACATATCTGAGGTGAAACTGAGAAACTCGTCGCAATGGGGAAAAAAAAAAAAAATGTTAACACAGAACTTCTGTAACATGATACTATGATGTGAAGACAGTGTATTTTTACCCCACACTCTGTCAAACAATGCGATCAGTCTCTTGTCAAGAGTCAAGTCAATGCTCATACGCATGCATAAATAAGCCTTGGCTACAGTCAGCAGCCACACAGGGTTATGGATTACTTTTCACTGTGCTTCTTTCTCCTGTTGGTGTTGCCACCTCTCAATGATGGTGAGTAAAACATCACTTAATTTAACTGTTTAATATTAAATGTGTTAATGTGGTAAAGTCATGATATCTTCAAATTTTTCTCATAAAGCAAACAGGTATAATTATGATACAGCAAACAAACTGTTGAAGTTTGATAAACAATGATTTGACTATTGATCTTTGATTAGATCATTTAAATACTAAATGACTCAGTTGACTGGATTATTACAAAAATAAGGGTAAATAATCCAATGCTCACAAGTGTATCTCTGTCAAAAGAAATTGCCCCTGCTGGACCAGGTTGTCAAATCACTGACTTGAGTTTATTAGAGACAAAGTAAACAGCATCCACCTGTCACCATGTTGCATTTTGGTGAGGTGTCATTTATCAGTGCTAACTGTACTGACTTCAGTGTGAAAAATGAATATGGATATTATATACCGTGCGTCATTGTCCACACAAAGAGCTCATTCCTTGAACAAGTATTTGCCTTTTTAAGTGTCTATTATTGATCTTTCATCAAACCTGTTGTAGTGGAGTGGATGTAGTTGTCTGAAATCTGTTTCACATCTTACAAGAAAGATTAAAATGCATTATTGCCCACTTACGCTGTACCAGACAATTCATCCATGACAATGCTCAAAAATGTTTTTCTTGAATTCTAATGAAATGACGTTGTCACTGTCCCTTTTAAATTTCTAGCTCAAATAGCGGTTCCCACTTCCAGCCTAACAGGTAACATCCACAATACAACCCTCACTGTTCCCACACTCCTCTACTGCAACATATTCTGCCTCCATCTCTCCACCCTGCAATGACTGGCAACATTCCGCTCACTTAGCTCAGCTCCATCCACCCGAGATGCATCAAACATTTCTACCACTCTCATCCTAATTTGGAATGATGCTTGCCAACCTGTCCCCAGACCCTGACTGCTCTGCTGGGCAGCCACAAAATACCTCTCAGACTCCTCAATCTGGAGACTCTCAGCTACAACTACAATTAAATATCTACACTACCTGCTGTAGAACAAGATGTGTTAGTCATTTTCTTCATTGCGGTTTGGTAAATAATCATGATATTGTAAGTGACCAGAGTGATCTTAAAATAACACATGACTGTGTGCAGTGTAGATCTTGTAGTTTCACTCCAACAGCTATGTCGTGTGTGCTCCAGGCTGTGCAGGTCCACCAGTGCTGTGCTGCTCTGGTAAAAACAACACTTGTTCAAGGTTGATTCAGTGTTTCTGTGACGAGTTCTGCATCACAAGCAACGACTGCTGTGCTGACTACAGGTCAACCTGCACATGTAAGTTAGAGTGAACGCAAAAAATTAGAATACATTTTCAAGCATTTAGTGTATAACATTTATAAAGCAAATCTTTGTCTTCTACAGCTTTGACCACCGCACTGCCAAGCATATCCAGCACATTAAACAGCAGTACTACATCTACAATGGCAACTTTGCCTTCCACGGTCTCTTCACTAACAGCACCCAATGCAAAAAGCAGCAGTACAACATCTAGACCAGCAGATAACAGCACTACTTTATTAGTCTCTGGAACGACAGCACCAAGCAAAACAAACAGCAATACTACTCCTACACTAGCAGATGTCACAACAACTTCAGCATCCACGGTCTCTAATACAACACCCAACATAACAGGCACCTCTACGACATCTACACTGCTGGATGCGAACACAACTCCAGCATCCACAGTCTCTGTTACTACAGTAACCATCCCAACAGGCAGCAGTACATCTTCACCAGCAGATAACAGCACAATTTCATTAGTCCCCGTTCCGACAGCACACAGGACACAAAGCGGCAATACACCATCTGCACTACCAAATATGAGCACAACATCCCTATTAGCGGTCTCTACTACTGCAGCACACAGCACAACCAACAGCAATACAACCTTGATGCTGAATATCAGCACAACTACCGTATCCACACTCTCTGATACAACAAACAGCAGTAGTACCTCAGATTCAGAATACCCTGTGTCTCTTACTACAGCACCCAGTACAACAAACAGCAGTACTACCTCTACAGCAGCAGATATTAGCTCAGAGTCAGAATACCCTGTCTCTCTTACTACAGCACCCAGTACAAAAAGCAGCAGTACACCTACACAGACAGATATCACATCGTCACCATCCACCATCTCTTCAACAACAGCACCCAATACAAAAAGCAGCAGTACATCTGCGCTAATGGAGGTGAGCTCAACCTCAAAGTACGTAGTGTCTTCTACTGCAGCAACCAGTCAAAAAAGCAGCAGTGCTACATCTACGCCAGCAGATGGCCTCTCAACCACAGTCTCTAAAGCTACAGGTTGGTCATTACGATCAAGCTATAAGTGATAATATCTATAAATTCTATTATATTGTTTGAATTTGGGCCAACAATGATACTCAGTTGATTACTCGTTTCCTTTGGCATGGTAACACCTCAGACATTTAACAGTTTCCTTGTACTCTCAGCAGGAACAACAGTGACAGAAACCAGGATGACTCTGGGTGCTCGTAGTGTCACATCTTCACCAGCAGATGGAAGCAAAGCTGGAGTTTCTAACAAAAACACAGATTCCCAGACCACGCCCAGCTCAAATGAAGGTATGGTCAGTTGCATTGACTTTAGCACTTCAATGATGTAGTTACCAATCTGCATGATAAATTACATTTTCATCTAATTTTTTTTAGATTACCAAACCCTGACTATTCACCTAAAAGCTTCTGCTTTAGCCCATAATGAGGAAAATGAAGATGTGATTTCAAAGGCTTTATCTAATGCAAGTACAAACAACCTTTATGTTGCAGTATCAAAAAAAAAAAAAAAAAAAAAAAAAACTTACATTATACACACATTTATCGCTAATCAGTGAGTGTCTTCTTTCATACAGTTTCTGTCCCAGGCCTTTCTCCAGCAGAAATGTAATGGCTGCACTTTAACCATCAGACACATCAAATCCACCTGAGAAATGGCCTATGCTTCAGCCAGACAACCAGCAGTGGGATCATGGGGATTAAGGGACTCAAGATTCTTTCACTGTCAATCGTTCAGAAAGTTTTTAACGGGAGGTGAATTATATACAGAGGTCTCCTTTCCAAAACAAATGAACCCGATGATTAAATCTAGTGAAAAAAAAAAAAAAAAAAAAAAAAAAAAAAAAAAGACCAAAAGCAGTTTCACACTAAAAATCAGTGTTTGAGTCACTGTTCGGTGGGTACAGGACGTCAGGTGGAGCCGAGAGCTGAACTGCTGCAACATTTTCTCAGCGTTTTTCTGATAACTTAAGATCAAGACGTTCGATCACTAAAATCCTTCATCTGGCTAAAATATAGTTAAAAATTACCAAGATCTAAAAAAAAGAGGTATTGTAAAAATGTGACTTAAAACTGGATTTAAAAAGTCAAATTTGACCGCTTCTGGCAGACAACCACAATGCTGATGCATGCATGAAGGAGATATGACACCGACAGGCGACCAAATGAAGCAAATTATTACCTTGATTAAAATTACTAGGTATGAAAATTGATGGAAACCTTTGGGGTAATGTAGGTACACAACTCAACAAAAATCCACTAGTAAGTCTAGTTGTTTTTGGACCTTTAATGTAGAAAAGATACATATACCTTTAAATCTAGATAAACCATTAGAGAACCACATTCATCATTACCATCTGTTGTGCAGCCAAAAACTGAAAAGGTGGTGCTGTCTGGTTGGATGGTGTCTACAAATGGTGAATACAACACTTCAATTAAAAATGGTAGATAAGGGAAGAAGTTGTGCGGTGCAGAACAAAAGTGTGTTCTCTTGCAGCTCATCTCCACAGTCCCACAGGAGTTCATTCTACAGAGAGTCTGTCTGATCATATTGTGTCCAAAAATAATGTAATTTTAATGCCAGTTGATGGGCAGGTGTCCTGCTTAATCTTCACTGCGTAAGATAATTTGATGTGATTAAATGTGTGTCACCTTTAATCTATTCACTGGAGCTACTGCAGCATTCCTTAAATGTCTACAGTCTGTAGGCATAACCCATTGGTGACTCGCTAAGGACATAAAACATTGTTGGGATCTCTTGTAATGGAGAAGGTATTCAATTTATTTTGTAAATGGGATCATGTACGTCAGAAGTGTCTGCCACCGTTAACCATACAAAGTCATGCATTGGTTTGCATTGTACTCTGGTGGTCCTAGTGGGTTTACTTCTCTACAGTGGTGAGTTAAATATTGTATTCAAATGTGTTATGTAAAGGCTATGCACGCTTTAACAACTCTTGACAAAGCACATGATGACGACAACAACAACACAGGGTTTAGTGCAAAAACAGTGTCAATGACAATGTCTGAAATGTTTTCATGAAAATTGCTGCGCTCCATCTGGGGATGATCCAGAAGAACCATCACATGTACAACAAAGTAAAACAGAAAGCAAAAGGCTATATTATCCTTGTATTATTTTCTCGTTATCTGTAACAGACAAACTTTTAAAAATCTTACCTTTTCTGTTTACTGGATTTTTTGTGAGCTTGTTTAGCGTGTGTCCCTGAGTCTGTAATTAAAAATCATATCCACTGCCATACTTTGAACAAGCATTTGCTTTTTTTTGGTGTATGCTGTGAAGAGTCTGTCAAGCCTGGAATCTGACAGTTCAACTGTGGTTGGACTTGGTTGAGGTGGACCTATTTGTCTGATGCCAATCTGTTTTCATGTCACAGGTCCACTTAACGCAATGACTGTCTCTTTATACACAGTTTACAAAGCAGTTTTCAATTAATCTGGTTTCTCCTGATCTCCCCTGGTTTTCTGTGGCTGAGTCACTATAAAAATATGCAGAGGCAAAACAAATGCTTGAATGTAAGTTGAGGAAATTACTATGACTACATTACTCATAGTTGCATGTTTGTTACAGTGCCAGCATATTTACCATTCCTATGTGCTTGTGGAAACTTTTCAACATCTGAGAACAGATGTGGTGTCTGAAACATCAAGGGTAGGTCTAACATGCATTAATTATGCAAGTATTCCTACTACATGAAAAGTATAACTACACAGAGCAGAGAAGATCAATTCAACTGATGTACAATATAGATTACAGTATCATATTAAGCAAATGGAGAACTTAATTAGTTTCTTCACTGTGTGCTGTAGCTGGGTTTATCGACAGACACAATTACATGAAATAAGACGTACACAGGGTAGATTAAACCAGTCACAGGGAGCTCTACACTGTGGTCCATAATAAAAGTGTAGGGCAACGTAAGGAAACTGGTTTAAAGTGTGCACAAAATCTAACATGCACGGAGAAAAAAAAAAAAAAAAAAAAAAAAAAAAAACACACCAAGAAAAAAAAAGTCAGTAGCAGTCCAGCTGTTGGCACATATTATAATGTAGTGTTTCATGACATAAGTGGCTATAACTAGAGTATAGATAGAGCAACACTCAAAGTAATGTAGTGCTCAACCATTTGGAGCCAGATGAGAGAAAACCGAAGTATGAATGATTTTCTTTGCATCAGCCAAAGCAAAATAGAGTCTAACAGTGTCTGCACCAGCCTTTGACATTACAAATTCACCATTTAAATGTCCACTTTTGAGAAAAATTATTTTAGACGTTGTGCCTCCATTTAATTGAAGGGGTTGTTTTGTTTTTTAGATTGACAGATTTATTCTGTAATGATTTTTTCTGCTTTGTTTACAGTATGAAAAACATTTGCCTTGAGACATTTTGACATAGATCACAGCTTTTACATTGCAGGTGGAGATGCTGTGCTGTGTGTGGAGGATGGGTCAGTCAGACTGACACTGGAGGACGTATTGATTCTCCCCACTGGCGCAAACAATGCAACAGTGCCATCAAGTGATGACAATAGAAAACAGCAAGACATTAAATCATTCAGTCCATTAGAACAAATAAGAAAATTGAAAAAGAAAATAGATAAAGACAAATTAACTGACAGGAGAGATGGTAAACCTAGATAAATATGCAATACATATTACAAATCTGAATAGTTTCAATAGTTTTCTAGAAATTATTGAAATGAAATTGGTCCCTTACTATCGCAGAGAAACCAAAAATAATATCTTTGAAGGACAAGTTGTGAGGTAAGAAATCATGTTTGAATGCTCACGCCAACAGAACATGTTTATGGAGATCAGGAATATGATTACAACATCAGCTTTCTCAATAAGACATTTAAGAAATCTGCAACATCCCTTGCAATGATATATCAGACGTGAAACTAGCGATGCATTTAGGTGGTGACATACTCATTAACAATGCGAGTCACATGGCAACACAGATACACAAAACTCAAAAAGTCCCTGCTACAAAAACATCCAACACAACAAGCAGCAATGCGACATCTAAAATGAATGGCTTCGAGCACCACTTCAGCATCCACTGTTTTTGGATTCTGGAGCTGAAACCAACAGCTCTACTACAACCACACGAGTAGATGGGAACCCGCCCTCAGTGTCCACAGTCTTGTCACGGCCCCTACAGCACCCAACAACACAAGCAACACAGCAGCATCTGTACTAGTGAATGCGAGCACAACGTCTGTGACCCCAGTCCCTTCAACTACACCACTCAGCATTACAAACACTAGTACTACACCCACACTAGTCAATGGCAGCATAGCTTTATTATCCACAGTGACTGCTACAAGACCACCCAGCACAGCAAACAGAAGTACTACACCTACACCACTAAATGGAAACACAATATCATCCACAGCCTTTGCTGAAGCTTGTTTAAAAATTCACTTTTACCCTCACAAAAGCTACATCTTCAAGGTTCATGTCACTGCTGAAAATGTTACCCATCTTTGTTAAAAAGGTATTTGTCCATCAGATTCTGAGTTAACAATGATCCACAGTGATTCAGCAAGTTCCCCCCCCCTCCCTTAGGATCTTACTGCCACTACTCCAATAACACTAAAGAATTGTCACATTTTCCTTGATCACACTGACAGAAATCAGTAGACAGTGTTGCATTTTTAGCAGCAGATGGCAACATATCCACAGAGTCCAGGTACACCATCTCTTAAAATGACAGTATAGTCTATGGTCTAGCTCACAAGGTATATCTTTTTGGCACTTGCTGTCCTATCAATCTGGATGTCCTGTACGCTTCCACCTTTCACCATATCCCTGTCCATCGTTTAAGTCATCATGAAATTGTTGTATTAAGTCTACTAGCCCTGTGCTGCACATATATCATAATGTGTTGATCTGTTTGAAATTAAATGACATCTGTCCTGACAACAGGTTGACCTGCTCACAACGCAAGTAAAAGATGAGGGCTACAGCAATTCCATCATTTGACGTGTCTGTTTAGTTTAAGTCAGGTTTGACATTGAAATAAGTTTTAAAATTTATTGTGTAGATCTTTCATGATTACAAATTTTACTACTTCACTGCCAAGTAGACCCAGCACAACATCTACATTGTTTGCACTATTGAACATGAGCACAGATGGCTTCACAAATTCAGCATCCAGTCTCCATAGCTACAGGCTGGTCATTATGGCCATCTATCCTGAAGTTAGATCAAAAATTCAAATTTGAAAAAAAAAAAATCATGTGACAAAACATCCATTTTTAATGTCACTGCTACGTAGTGGACTATGACCGATGTAACAGTTTGTCCACGTTAAAATATCTCAATGCACGTATCAAATACATGACTTAGTCTTATCTATGTGCTTAGGATATATAAATAAATAGCCCACAAAGCCTGGGGTATTACTTTGATAACTCATTTACAATACAACTTAAGGATGAATTGATTCTCACAAGCATAGCAGATATTATGCACTGGCTCTCTTTAAAAATAACAAACATTAACAAAAAATGCAAAATTTGAGGAAACTGCAAATAAAGGCCTGGTGAACTGTGTCTGTGCAGACAGCGGCAATAACACAGCTCCATAACCAGCAAAACAACCTCCACAACAACACAAAAAGCTTT